GTGATGCTAGTGGTAAAGAACCCCCTGCCAATGCAGGAAACATAAGAGACGCGGGTTCGATCCCTGGGTGGGGAAGATCCCCTGGAGGAGGGCTTGGCAACCCACTGCAGTATTCTTGCCTGGAGAATCCCATGGACAGAGGAGCCTGGCAGGCTACAGTCCAAAGCATCAAAAAGAGTTGGACACGACTGAAGTGACTTAGTACACACACACACTGTCTCCATAGTGGCTGTTCCCAGTTGGCATTCCAGCATCGATGGAGGATTCTCATTTCTCCACATGCTCTCCAGCCTTGGTTCTTTGTAGAGTGTTTGACAGTGGCCATTCTGACCAGTGTGAAGTGATACCTTATTGTAGTTTTGATTTGGATTTCTCAACTGTGTGGATCACATAAACTGTGGAGAATTCTGAAAGAGATGGGAATACCAGACCACCTGACCTGCCTCTTGAGAAACCTATATGCAGCTCAGGAAGCAACAGTTAGAACTGGACATGGAACAACAGACTGGTTCTAAATAGCAAAAGGAGTATGTCAAGGTTGTATATTGTCACCCTGCTTATTTAACTTATATGCAGAGTACATCATGTGAAATGCTGGGCTGGAAGAAGCACAAGCTGGAATCAAGATTGCTGGGAGAAATATCAATAACCTCAGATATGCAGATGACACCACCCTTATGGCAGAAAGTGAAGAACTAAAGAGCCTCTTGATGAAAGTGAAAGAGGAGAGTCCAAAAGTTGGCTTAAAGCTCAACATTCAGAAAACTAAGATCATGGCATCTGGTCCCATCACTTCATGGGAAATAGATGGGGAAGCAGTGGAAACAGTGTCAGACTTTATTTTTCTGGGCTCCAAAATCACTGCATATGGTGATAGCAGCCATGAAATTAAAAGACACTTACTCCTTGGAAGGAAAGTTATGACTAAACTACATAGCATATTAAAAAGCAGAGACATTACTTTGCCAACAAAGGTCTGTCTGGTCAAGGCTATGGTTTTTCCACTGGTCATGTATGGATGTGAGAGTTGGACTGTGAAGAAAGCTGAGCACTGAAGAACTGATGCTTTTGGACTGTGGTGTTGGAGAAGACTCTTGAGAGTCCCTTGGGCTGCAAGGAGATCCAACCAGTCCATCCTAAAGGAGATCAGTCCTCGGTGTTCATTGGAAGGACTGATGCTGAAGCTGAAACTCCAGTACTTTGGCTACCTCATGTGAAGAGTTGACTCATTGGAAAAGACCCTGATGCTGGGAGGGATTGGGGGCAGGAGGAGAAGGGGACGACAGAGGATGAGATGGCTGGATGCCATCACCGACTCGATGGACATGAATTTGAGTAAACTCCGGGAGCTGGTGATGGACAGGGAGGCCTGGTGTGCTGCGGTTCATGGAGTCGCAAAGAGTCGGACACGACTGAGCGACTGAACTGAACTGAATATTTAGCAAGGTTGACAGCATTTCCTTTTTTTTTACGGGTATGAGTGAAACATCTAGCAATTGACTTTTTAACGTCTGCCCTGTATTTTGATGACCACTCCTAGAACAATCCTTGAAGGCAGGAGCGTTTAACTCAATCCCACGGATCTTCTGAATATTAAATCCCCATCAGCACAGCTTTCCACCTTGTTGTTATGGAAAGTGGCCACAAGGTGGCAGCATTTCTTCATGCACCTTCTTTTTCTTTCTGTGCAATTTCGTTTTGATCTTATGCTGGAATACAGTTGATTTCCAATGTTGTGTTTGTATAAGATGAACAGGAACTTAATTCAGTCACGTATAAATGCATACCTATTTTTCAGGTTCTTTTTCCCATATACAGAAGATCCGAAAAATTACTGAGAAGCAAGAGTCAGAGAAGAGAATAAAAATGTAGCAACAGGTGGTGGAGGTGTTGGAAACCAATGCAAAATCCAAGAAATGTAATCCTGTAGAAGCAGGGCTCTACAGATTTAAAGCGCAGAAACAGGATTCCGGAGTTCTTTACAGTGGGCATGTCTTCCCTAAGAAACTAGCCAGAGGAGCCCCCCGCCCCCATGCCTTTGATTTTGGCTTTGATTTTGAAATGGAGAAAAGAATCAAGCAGCAAAAAGCACAGAGGGTATTGGAGGATAAACACTTTATGCGAAGCCTTGCCTTTATCGTATCTTGTTAGGTGTTGTGGGTGTTCCCAATAAGAAAGAAATTCCAGGCACTGTCCCCAGGTCACCTGCCTTTGTTCGGAAGAGAACCCCAAACCCACCCAAGAAGATGAGGATGAGGAGCCGCCAGTAGTGATAAGAGCTGAACAACTGCCCCAGGACAGTACCTCTTAAACCCCAAATCCCGGTGAGGAGAAAGTGTGGAAATGCGCCCTTTCTCTTTCAATTCAAAAAGGTCACTTACAGAAAGAGAGGAAAATAAAACCGCTGCAGAAAGGGGAGGTGCTCAAGTTCTAGACGCTTCCTTTGCCTCATTTTACCACCATTAACCTGCAGGAGAAAATGAAGAACAGAACTTAGGTTGAGCCTTCTGCTTGGAGCTTGGCAGAAGTGGTGCCTGAAGGCACAGATTTGGGTTCTCTCCGTGGCCCGGTGACAAAGAAGGCTCCTCCTGGTGTGATGGAAAGAGCAGATCTGGTTCCCAGATGGTGTCTGCAGCCGAGTCTAGCTGTGGAATTTACTGGAGAATTTGGGTGGTACCCACATAGCCAAGGGCTGCTCACTTAACAGTAATTTGTGTTGCTTCCATCCTCCCCCTCTTTTTTATATATGTCAGAATATATAGTTGATTTAGTTTGTAGTTTATTCACTTAAAGTGTCATTTTTACTGCTTTTATCCTTCGCTTTTTTTTTTTTAAACATGGAATGCTTCACAAATCTGCGTGTCACCCTTGCTCAGGGCCACCCACTCCAGTGTTCTTGCCTGGAGAATCCCAGGGATGGGGGAGCCTGGTGGGCTGCCGTCTATGGGGTTGCACAGAGTTGGACACTACTGAAGTGACTTAGCGGCAGCAGCAGCACCTTGCTCAGGGCCACGTTAATCCTCTGTGTATTGTTTCAATTTTAGTATATGTGCTGCTAAAGCGAGCACTAGCCTCCACTTTTTATATTTAAATTTAAAAATAAAGATACTTGATGTAGTTTATAGTTTATGTCTGATTCTTTCCTCTTCTCTGTGCAAATGAATTTGGAGTTAAGGGGCCCTTTGCTCTGCGGGGGGAGCCTTGCTAACTGCCTGCCGAGGCAGGGACGTGACTGCTGTGTCCCTCAGCGCGGCTGTCTGCCGGCTTCAGGCGGAGCTGCTGTTCTGGCACCTTCTGCCCCTGTTGGTGCTGACGATGAGGGAGTGCTAAGCAGGGCTTGCTGTAAGTCCTCCTGTGACCCGGGCTGGCATCAAGGTTTGTCTTACCAAAAGTTATAAAAGGCAGTTCCATACTCCTCTCCACAGGGATTCTTAGCATTTCCATCTCATCAGCACCGTGAGTGCTCACAAGGAGAAAGGATCTCTTCCTGCCCTACTCCTGTTACTAGGATAACCAGAGCCTTAGGGTTACCCCTAGTACGTGCTTTCTTCTGGCACATGCCAGCAACCTGTGTCTCATTAATCCTTGTGTTTTTTTTTAAAACTTAATGTTTACTTCTTTTGGAGGATAGCTGACTCACAATGTTGTGTTTGAAGGTGTGAAGATTCTTCATCAGTTGTCCCCATACGCATACTGATTCATCTTTGTTTTTTTCACATACATGTTATTATAGAGTGTGTAGTACACCACCCTTTCTAAAGTAGGTCCGTTGGAATCTATATTCTACAGGCGTTTGTGAGTATGGCTTAATCCCCACCTCCTGATTTATCCCTTCCACCCAGAGCTCCCCTTCTCAAACCATGTGTGTTTCCTAAGACTGTGTGTATATTTTGCTTTTATAAAATAGCTCATTGATATCAGTTTCTGAAATACTCCACTCACTATGATTGTTCTAGATTAATCTTTGATTGTTCTAGATTATCCCTGTAAATGGCATTAATTTTTCATGGCTGAATCACGTTCCATTCGATGCACAGATGACTTCTTCATTCATCTGTCCATGCACACTTTGGTTACTTCCATGTCTCAGCTGTTGTAAATGCCGCTGCAGTGCATGCTCGTGTGCATCCTTATTGCTCAGTCGCTACTTCTGTCTTGCAAAACTGACTGTCCCCGGGAGGCACCCAGTCCCCGTTCCCCTCCCTCAGCCGCTGGCACCTACAATCCTGCTTTCTGTGTCTACGGAGCCGACTGCTCTGGGACCTTGTATGAGTGGACTCAAACTTTTGTTCTTCCGTGTCTGGCTTATGTCACTGAGCATAATGCCTTCAGGCTTCATCCCCTCTCTAGGCTGCGTCAGAACTGCCTTACTGTTAGGCTGGACAACATTCATCGTGTGGATGGACTGTGGTCTGCTTGTCTGTTCTTCTGTCGAGGGACTCATGGAATATCTCCATTCATCTCTCATGTCTTGTCATATTTGTGGAATAGCTTCAGAAAGTCCCATGATCCAAGAGTCATTCACCATTACCTACTTTGTAAACTTTTTTATTTCGAAATCCATCAAAGCTCAGAAGAAGGGAAGAATGTTTGTGAGCTTCACCTGTATTTACGAACAGACGCTTTAGGATATTCATTTTATTGACCGTGTGTGGGCTATGCGTGTGTGTGTGTGACTGTTTGCTGACATGGGCTGGTAGGGTGCACGGTGTGTGTAGGTGTGCAGCGCACTTGTGTGCGGGGGACGGAGGGGCTGGTAGTGGGTCGTGGGCTGGGGGCTTGGGCCCGAGGCGGGCAGGCGGGTGCAGGCGGGAGCTCCCCGTGGTTCTCTGCTCTGGTGGCGTCTATGTCCCACCTCTTCCCGCATTCCCGCTCGGATGCAGTGTGGGGCGTGCGTGCGGGCGTGAGCCCCGGCACGAAATCATCTGAGCTGCAGCCTAGGAGGTGTCAGCCCCCATCCCCACCACCCTGCGGAGAAGCAGGACCTGAGCGTGCTCCACCCGCTAACTGACCATCAGGATGGACGGACCTGCTGTCTCCACTGGAGCCCGCAGGACGGTCCTTCCCGGGCGTCCGGGGCAGCGCCTCCTGCTGGAAGCCTGGGACGCTGCAGCCGGGCCGCTTCTGGTCTGATCCTGCAGGACCCCGGGCTGCGCTCAAGGTTCCTGGCTCTCCCCGGCCCTGAGCACCACGTGGCCGCAGAACCTGCTCACAGCTTTGTTCTGCCCCTTGAGATGTTAGTGACGAAGCTTTTGTTCCGTTTCCTGACGTGGGTGAAGTGTGGAGCCCCGGGGTGATCTCTTCTTCAACAAGGGTACATCCTAGTTCCCACTTGCGGGTGAGCCCCCTGTCCAGCGGTGAGAGACCCCGGGGGTGTGACCCGTGCCTCCTGGGAGCGCAGCCCTAAGCTGCTTTGAACCTGACCAAGTTCTGTCTACGTGGTAGATTCAGACCTCTCCAAGTCCTGTCTACACCGATTATATTTAGATGAGACCGTGTGCTTCTACAATATGAATCTTTACACCTGACTGGGTTCTCTGTGCAGCAGGACGTGGAGACCTGGGTAGAGACCCGGCCTGGCCTCTGTCCTGGAAAACTCCGTGCCTGCGTCTGAATGTCAGCGCTCAGATGTCTGGGGTCTGGAGCTGAGGTGGGTTTCTCTGGGTAACCGTGCTTTTCTCTGACTGGTGTTCCAAGGCCCTCCTGGGGGTCAGTGCAGAGGTAGGGCTCTTAGGCTTTCCCTCGACAAGTTCACCTCCCCTGGGGCTCATTGAGACACCTCGGGGAGGCTGACTGGTGCTGTTGTCTCTCAGTTGTGACCAACTCTTTGTGGCCCCATGGACTGCAGCATGCCAGGCTTCCCTGTCCTCCTCTATCTCCCGGAGCTTGCTCAAACTCATGTCCATTGAGTCGGCGATGCCATCCAACTATCTCATCCTCTGCCATCCCCTTCTCCTGCCCTCAATCTTTCCCAGCATAAGGGGCTTTTCCAGTGAGTCAGCTTTTCCCATCAGGTGGCCAAAATTTTGGAGCTTCGGCTTCAGCCTCAGTCCTTCCAATGAATATTTAGGGTTGGTTTTCTTTAGGATTGACTGGTTTGATCTTGCTGTCCAAGGTCTCTCAAGAGTCTTCTGCAACACCACAGCTTGAAAACATCAGTTCTTCAGTGTTCAATATGATCCAACTCTCACCTCCATACATGACTACTGGACAAACCATAGTCTTGACTAGATGGACCTGGCTTGTTTACATATTGGGTCCTGCTGAACACAACCATGGTGTCCTGACCAAGGGGACGTGTGGCCCCAGGTGGGGGGATCTGGGGGCTGTGTAAGTCTCACCCCGTCTGCCTGGGTCAGAATCATGTGCAGAGGGAGACCATAAACACAAAACTAAGAAAAAGGGAAGGATACATGTGAGCTTCACTTGTGTTTAAGAATTCATGCTTTACAGTATCATTTACACAGGCCTGTGTCTGTCCCCTTTACCCCTGTGAGGTTCCCACGCCTGGGGCTCCTGGAGGCTCCGCAGGTGAGCTACCTGGTAATTATTCCAATTTACCAGCAGGAGCCTGGCAAGAAGGGAGCAGGTTTATCTGGGCAGTTGATTGCAGGGCACATGGATCAGGCAAAAGCCAATGGGCAGCAGGTGAGGGAGCTGCTATGCTCTCCTTCCAGCAGACCGAACGTGCTCAGCAGAGACCAGACCCGCCCCTCGTCTCCAGCCCAGCTTCCGGTGTGTTTTCACAGCACCGCAGCGGGACAAGAGAGCCGGGACCCAGCACCGAGGTAGTGTGTTCAACATTACCACGACCGCTGTGAGAACAGTTAATATCACAGAACCGAGGGGAAAGAGGAGGACTTCTCTGGGACAAGGCAGGGAAGGAGACTGACACGCCAGCCAGGAGGTTACAGGAACTCACTCCTTTCCACCGTAGGGGCCCAAGCAGCAGGAACCTGGTGTCCTCACCAAGGGTCTTCCCACCAAAGGGGCAGGATATGGAAGGGGGTCACCCTGGAGACTGTGGACGTGTGACCCCGGGTGCAGGATCTGGGTGGGGTCCACCATGGAGACTGTGGACGTGTGACCCCGGGTGCAGGATCTGGGTGGGGTCCACCATGGAGACTGTGGACGTGTGACCCCGGGTGCAGGATCTGTGATGGGGTCACCCTGTGGATCTGTGACCCCAGGTGCAGGGTCTGGGGGGGTCACCCTGTGGATGTGTGACCACAGGTACAGGGTCTGGGGAGTCACCCTGTGGATGTGTGACCACAGGTGCAGGGTCTGGGGGGTCACCCTGTGGACGTGTGACCCTGGGTGTAGGGTCTGGGAGGGCAGTCACCCTGGAGATGTGAATGTGTGACCGCAGGTACAGGGTCTGGGGGGTCACCCTCTGGACATGTGACCCTGGGTGCGGGGTCTGGGGGGTCACCCTGTGGACGTGTGACCCTGGGTGTAGGGTCTGGGAGGGCAGTCACCCTGGAGATGTGAATGTGTGACCCCAGGTACAGGGTCTGGAGGGGTTCGCCCTGGAGACTGTGGATGTGTGACCCCAGGTGCAGGGTCTGAGGGGTCACCCTGTGGACGTGTGACCCTGGGTGCAGGGTCTGGGGGGGGGTCACCCTGTGGATGTGTGACCACAGGTGCAGGGTCTGGGGGGGTCACCCTGTGGACGTGTGACCACAGGTGCAGGGTCTGGGAGGGCAGTCACCCTGGAGATGTGAATGTGTGACCCCAGGTGCAGGGTCTGGGAGGCGGTCACCCTGGAGACTGTGGACGTGTGACCCCAGGGGCAGGATCTGTGATGGGGTCACCCTGGAGACTGTGGACGTGTGACCACGGGTGCAGGGTTTGTGGGGGGGGTCACCCTGGAGACTGTGGATGTGTGAGCTCAGGTGCAGGGTCTGGGGGGGTCACCCTGGAGACTGTGGACGTGTGACCACGGGTGCAGGGTTTTTTGGGGGTCACCCTGGAGACTGTGGATGTGTGAGCTCAGGTGCACGGTCTGGGGGGGGTTCACCCTTTGGATGTGTGACCCTGGGTGCAGGGTCTGAGGTGGTCACCCTGTGAACGTGTGACCACAGGTGCAGGGTCTGGGGGGTCACCCTGTGGATGTGTGACCACAGGTGCAGGGTCTGGGGGGTCACCCTGTGGACGTGTGACCCTGGGTGTAGGGTGTGGGAGGTCACCCTGTGGACGTGTGACCCCGGGTGCAGGGTGTGGGAGGTCACCCTGTGGACGTGTGACCCCGGGTGCAGGGTCTGGGAGGGGAGTCACCCTGGAGATGTGGACGTGTGGCCCCAGGTGCAGGGTCTGGGGTTGTGTGGGTCCCACCCCATCCACATGGGTCCTGTCCTGTACCCGCAGACCCCACAGGTGCTCTTCACCTCAGAGCCTCTCGTCGCCTCTGAATCTCCAGCATCTGACTGAGGGTGCAGACCTGACTAACCTGCGGTCCTCTTTCTTCTCTGTGTTGCCGCATTCACATGAGGTCCGGCGCCTTTGAGTGAGCTGCTGCTCTGTGTCCCGCTGAGTGAAGGAGAGCCTTTGGTGGTGTCTGATCACTATCCTAGCGGATCAGAAGTCTGATTCACAGGCTCCCCGCTCTCTGGTTTCCTCTAGACCGAGCTCATGTAAGTTCATTTGTAATTTGTTGTTATTTTGTATTGATGTAGAGTTGATTTCCAATGTTTTGTTTGTTTTGGGTGTACATGAACTTGACTCAGTTATACACAGATGGACATCTGTTCTTTTTCTGTTCTTTCCTCATATAGGTTAGTATAGTTTGTTCAGTAGAGTCCCCAGTTCTATTCAGTGGGTCCTTTTTCTTTTTCAGCTTGATATATATTAGTGTGTGTATTTTCTTTCCAAACTCTTAATTTATCTGTCCCTTTCCTTTGACACGGCTTTCCTGGTGGCTCAGACAGTAAAGCATCTGTCTGCAATGCAGGAGACCCGGGTTCGACCCCTGGATCAGGAAGGTCCCCTGGAGAAGGAAACAGCAGCCCACTCCAGTACTCTTGCCTGGAAAGTCCCACGGATGGAGGAGCCTGGTGAGCTACAATCCATGGGGTCACAAAGAGTCGGATACTACTGAGTGACATCACTTTCTTTTCTTTCTTTCTTCTTTCTTTCCTTTGATAATCATAACTTGATTTTCTCAGTCTGTGAGTCTGTATATGCTTTGTAAATTAGTTCATTGGTCTGAACGTATAGATTCCACCTGTACGTGATATCTTAGGATGTCCTTTTCTCTCTGAAAAGTATTTATAGTATGATAATTTCTTGGTATATCCAAGCTGCTGCCAATATCATTATTTTGTTTGGTTTTATGGCTGGGTAGCATTCCAGTATATAGATGTACCACATAGTCTTCATTTTTCTGTCAGTGGACATTTTGGTGGATTCTGTGTCTTGGCTGTTGTGATATGCTGCCCTGAAAATGAAGGTGCACGTGTCATTCTGAATGGTGATTTTCTCTGCACCTAAGTGAGGAATGGGATTGCAGGATCGTATGATATCTCTAATTTTAGTGTTTCTAGGCACCTCCAAGCTGTTTTCCATCGTGGCTTCACCATTTAAATTCCCACCAAGACTGTGGGAGGATTTTATTTGCTGCACATTCTCTGCAATAATTATTCTTTGTAGATCTTTTCGATGATGGCCATGGTGACCAGTGTGAGGTGATACCTCATAGTTTTGTTTGGTATTGATTTAATAATGACTGATGTGGACTATATTTCCATGTGCTTTTATTATTATTTTACATCCTGTGAGAACAATTTACCTCTTCAATCAGGCTTCTTGAAAGTTGGCCCTGTTTGGAATTTTTTTCCGATGATTTACCCCAGGACATTTCTTGAGGACAAGTGTAATTTACAGCCCTCTCAGACTTGGGACTATTATGAGCCCTTTAGCATCTGTTTTAAGGTGTATATACTGATCTGAACCAAGTAATTACTCCCTGTCCCTCCGCCTTTCTTTTTTGGTAACCATGAGTTTCTTTTCTAAGTCTAGGAGGCTGTTTCTCTTGTAAAGTTTATTTGTATCCATGTTTAGATTCCATAGGCAGTAATATCCTATACTCAGCATTCTCTATCTCACTTCACTTAGTATGATTCTCTCTAGTTTCTTCCTGGTAACTGGAAATGGCATTATTTCATCCTTCTTTACGTCTGAGTAACATTGCGTTGTGTGCATGCACCCCATTTTCTGCCTCATTCATCTGTCTTTGTACACTTAAGTTGCTTCCGTGTCTTGGTTATTTACCTAGGGCTGCCCTGATCGTTGGGTACAGGTGTCTTTTTAAATTTTGGTTTCCTCTGGGTCTCCGCCTAGTTATGCAATTGCTGGGTCACTGGGTATGTCTATGTTTTGTTTTTTAAGAACCCCCATAATGTTCTCCCTAGTGGGTGTACTGACTGACATTGCCCCCAACACTCCCCTCCTTTTCTCCACACCCTCTGCAGACTTTATTGTTGTAGGGTTTTCGATGTGGCCATTCTGATCAGTGTGAGGTGACACCTCATTGTACGTTCGATTTGCCTTTCTCTAAGAACTAGTGATGCTGAGCACGTTTTATGTGCTCCATGGCCATCTCTATAACTTCTTTGGAGAAATGCACATTTATTCTTTGGCTGATTTTTTATTGGGTTTTTTTTTTTATATTGAGTTGTACTAGTGGTTTGTTTGTGTTGAAGAGAAATTCCCTATAGGTATCTTTGTTTGCAAGAATTTTTTTCCATTCTGAGGGTTGTCTTTTTCTTTCACTGATGGTTTCCTTTGCTGTGCAGATGCTTTTAATGTTTATTAGGTCCCATTTGTTTATTTTTGTTTTATTTTCATGATTCTACGAGGTGGATCAAAAAAGAACTTGCTGCATTTGATGTCAAGGCGTGTGCTCTTTTCCTCGAGAGTTTCATAGGGTCTGTCCTTTTATTTAGATCTTGAATCTAGTTGGAGTTTATTTTTGTGCATGGTGTTAGGGAGCATCCGGATTTCCTTCTCATTTTCATTGCTGAGGAAGCTGCCCAGGGTCCTCACAGTGGCTGCTCCCAATTTCCATTCCCAGGATCAGTGTGGACGGGTTCCCTTTGCCCTGCACCCTCTGCAGCATCTATTGCTTGTAGAGTTTCCATCTATGGCCATTCTGGCTGGTGTGAGGTTATATATACCTCCTTGAAGTTTTGATTTGCATTTCTCTCATATTTAGCGATGTTGACATCTGTACATGTGATTTTTTAAAACAGTGTGAGTTAAACTTACTCATTCAAATTGGCTTCTTGAACGCCTGCTCTGTTTTTAATATTTTTCTGTTGACCTCCTCTGGGACATTTCTTGAGGGTAGGTGTTTTTTACTTCCAGCATGCAGGCCTAGTGAATATTAAGTGCCCGTGAGCAAAGGCTTCAAAGTTGTTGTTATGGGAAATGGCCACAAGGCGGCAGCATGTTTTTAATGCCCCATCCTAGTCACTGGGGGAACCAGAGCCTTAGGGAAAGCCCTGTTCCTGATCGTCAATTAGAGTGGAATGCGCCAGAAGCCTCACCCGAGGCTTGCGTCCCATTCCTTCTTCCTTCCTTACCCCTGTCCTCTGGACACATCCCGATTCCTGCAACACCACGCTGTGGAGGGTGCTTTCATCATAGGTGGGGTGACCCTAAGGAAGGAAGCTGGAGGCGGGAACCCCATCACCTGGAGACATGGAGCCCAAGGGGCTTTTCAAAGCTCTTCCAGCCCAGAGGCTCCACATTCTTTGGGCGCAGTAGGTGTGGTTTCACTGCAGGAGGACCCGCCAGGATCTGGAGGCTGTGGGCCGGTGCAGAGGGGAACAGGCCCACCAGGTCCACGGGGCAGGACTCATTGGCTGGCGCATCCTCCCCACCTCCCTCAGCCCCAAGACAGTCCATCCAAGGGACCCAAGGCTTCAGGGATGTGGCGGCAGCCCAGGTCACTAAGGCCTGAAGGGAATAGAGTCAGCATTCTCTTTTTGTAATTTGTGTTTTGTGTTGGTGTAGAGCTGACTCACAGTGTTGTAGGCTGTGTCTGTTTGTTTGTTTCAGACATGACGCAATTATGCAGAGTTGTGCACGTGTCCTTTTTTGGGTTCTCTTCCCATATAGTTTATTATGCAGCATTGAGTAGGGGTCCCTGTCCTATAGTGGGTTCTTGTTGATTATTTTACAGTCTTGTGTGTATGTTCATCTCCGCCTTCTCATTTCCTTTGCTCACCACCTTTCACTTTTGGTAACCAGAATGCGCTTTGCTATGTTGTAAGGCCGTTTCTGTTTGGTCAGGAAGCTCATTTGTCCCCATTTTTAGCATCCGCCATATGACACTTGTCTTCCTTGTCTTACTTCACTTAGCGTGATCGTCTCTACTCCTGCCCTTGCTGCCAGACGTGGAGCGATGCTGCTCTGTGCCTATTCTCCACCTTGCTTACCCGTCCGTCTGTCCCCATCCACGTAGGCTTCGCCCGTGTCTGGGCTCTTGCCCACTGTGCTGCCGGGAACACTGGGGCGCACTGTCTTTTCTCTGGACCTGTGCCCAGGAACGGGGTTGCCGGGTCCTATGGTGCTTCTCCGCTCAGTTTTCATGATGCTTCGTCCTGTTCTCCTTCGTGGGCTTCCTGACTTTCATCCCCACCAACAGCGAGGAGGGTCCTTTCCCTCCATCCCCTCTCCAGCACTTACTGTTGAGATTTTCTATGCTGACCTTTCTGACATGTGAGGTGATGCCACATTGTACTTCTGATTCACAGTTCTCTAATACTTACAGATTCACGGTTCTCTAATATGTGTAGTTCTGTAATATTTGTATAATACTTTGTTATATGAACAAAGCTAGTGGAGGTGATGGAATTCCAGTTGAGCTATTTAAAACCCTAAAAGATGATGCTGTGAAAGTGCTGCACTCAATATTCCAGCGAATTGGAAAAACTCAGCAGTGGATACAGGACTGGAAAAGGCCAGTTTTCATTACAATCCCAAAGAAACACAATGCCAAAGAATGTTCAAACTATCACACAATTGCAGTCATCTCACACACTAGCAAAGTAATGCTCAAAATTCTCCAAGCCAGGCTTTAACAGTACATGAACTGTGAACTTCCAGATGCTCAAGATGGATTTAGAAAAGGCAGAGGAACCAGAGATCATATTGCCAACATCCACTGGATCATGGAAAAGACAAGAGAGTTCCAGAAAAACATCTATTTCTGCTTTATTGACTATGCCAAAGCCTTTGACTGTGTGGATCACAACAAACTGTAGAAAATTCTTAAAGAGATGGGGACACCAGACCACCTGACCTGCCTCCTGAGAAATCTGCATGCAGATAAAGAAGCAAAAGTTAGAACTGGACATGAAACAACAGACTGGTTTCAAATAGGGAAAGGAGTACATCAAGGCTGTATATTATCTTCCTGCTTATTTTACTTATATGCAGAGTACATCATGCAAAATGCCAGGCTGGATAAAGCACAAGCTGGAATCAAGATTGCCAGGAGAAATATCAATAACCTCAGATATGCAAATGACACCACCCTTATGGCAGAAAGTGAAGAAAATCTAAAGAGCCTCTTGATGAAGGTGAAAGAGGAGAATGAAAAAGTTGGCTTAAAGCTCAACATTCAGAAAACTAAGATGCCATCTGGTCCCATCACTTCATGGCAAATAGATGGGGAGACAATGGAAACAGTGAGAGACTATTTTTTTGGGCTCCAAAATCACTGCAGATGGTGACTGCAGCCATGAAAATTAAAAGATGCTTTGTCCTTGGAAGAAAAGCTATTACCAAATTAGACAGCATATAAAAAGCAGAGACATTACTTTGCCAACAAAGGTCTGTCTAGTCAAAGCTATGGTTTTTCTAGTGGTCATGTATGAATGTGAGACTTGGACTACAAAGAAAACTGAATGACAAAAAATTGATGCTTTGGAACTGTGGTGTTAGAGAAGACTGTTGAGAGTCCCTTGGACTGCAAGGAGATCCAGCCAGTCCATCCTAAAGGAGATCAGTCCTGAATATTCATTGGAAGGACTGATGCTAAAGCTGAAACTCCAATACTTTGGCCACCTGATGCAAAGAATGGACTCACTGAAAAGACTCTGATGCTGAGAAGGATTGAAGGCAGGAGGAGAAGGGCAAACGACAATAGGACAAGGTGGTTGGATGGCATCACCGACTCAATGGACACGAGATGGTGAAGGACAGGGAAACCTGGCGTGCTGCAGTCCATGGGGTTGCAAAGAGTCAGATACAGATCCAGACTGAACGACTGAACAACAACAACTCCCATATTATGTCGTTCAGATTGTTCCAGCTTTGGTCATCGTGAGCTCTTTCGATTGCCTCCTCTGTCCCTTCAATGATCCTACTGTTAAGTTGTGGATTGTTTTTTTGGGATTCATCTTCTTTGCAGCATGTGGCATGTGGGATATAGTTCCCCGACCAGGGATGGAATCCACACCCCTGCACTGGGAGCATGGAGTCTTAGCCCTTGGACCACCAGGGAAATCCCTGGACTCAGTATGTTTGCTTCCTCTAATTGCTACTGTCCTTCCTTTTGTGAGACATTTTGTCTTGTGCTTGCACATTTACTATTTGAAACAAATTCACTATGGTTCTGTTTTTTATGTACTTTTCTCTACTGCAACATGGTATCTTAGATTCCACCTGCGTTAGGTCATGGAGATGAGAGTGAGTGATGAAGTGTGTGTGGAGCTAATAGTACCATCAGTCCCGATTTTCCCAAACGTGAATTTAGAAATACTCTTCCCTCCATCTCTGAGTCACTCTGTTCTGTGGGACGCGCCTGGCACAGCTGATCAAATGGAGCTGCCAGCGTCCAGCCCCAGCAGGATCCAGGGGAACCCTCAGGATGAATGGCATTGGCGAGAGAGAGAGAGAGAGAGAGAGCAGACTGGGGTGTGTGCAGCAGGGTCCGGCAGCGTTTTATTTTTCACTGTAGCCTTTATACCCTAAGTTGGTACATTTCTAAGGGACAGATAAGCACACAGACTCAGTTTAACAACATCAGCTTGTCCTTCACGGAACCAGGTGTGCTCTGTATATTTTTGTTTATGAGAGTCTTTCCCATAGATTTTTTGTACATTATCTTCTGGCCTTGAGCTTAGCTGAAAACAGAAAAGTGGCAGTTCTCATGATACGGCAGGTTGTAACGTAGTAGAAATACAATCCTGTTAACACAAAGGTCAGTCTTTTTGCAGAAGTTCTCAGCTAAATTTATCTAAAAAGTTTAAAACACAACGACTGCGGCTCTGATGAGGGAGCCTCTGTTTTAGCACTCCTGGTTAAAATTAACAGTTATCTTATTGTTTTTACACTAGGGCTAAACTTTTGTTTTTCTAAATCCTTAACTATAACCACTTTTAGACTAAGATTTTTGTGTTCTTTAATAGGGCTTCCTCACCCCCCGGAGGGCTCTGTGCCTACTAGGGCCTTTTTTATGGTTAATCTCTATGTATAATATCTTTTGGCTTTCAGGCCTGTTGACATTTTATGGCTTGCACCTGGTGTAACTTTAAGCAACTTCAGTAGCCAACCCTGTCTTTCTTGCGGTTAATCTATTTTCTTTCTATTAGGTGTCATCTTCATGGGAACTAGATAGGATTACATTTCTATGGAACAGAAACGCAAAGGATTGCAAAAACAGCAGATATAGCACAAAACAGGCTCTTAGTATAAAAGTTAACTACCTGCAAGAAGTTGCCAGCTAATCTCTATCTAAAGTATTTTCTATTAGGCACATTTGTGACTATTATTTGTGGAGCTTTTCTCACCTCATAAAGGGGCCTATGCTTATAGTTTCTTTTGTTAGCGTACTGTTTTTAGGATGTCTAGAACAATCATGAGCATTTTTTTGCAATGGAAGCACACATTTATCAAACAAGCCAGAATGCCAGCAAAAGGGTTTGAATTGAAGCATTTCTTTCATCCCTGGCCCCTTCATAGGATACCAGCATCCAGGAGATTTATTAGTTAGGGTTTTAAGTTGGTCCTTATTCGGTGAAAGAGGAGCAGGAGAGCTCTTGGCAGGCAACAGAAGAATCCGCAGCAGGGCAAACAAGAACAACAGCAGAAAGTGGGGAGGATACAGGGTGGGGTAGAGGCCGAGGCCAACCTGGAGGGTCCCTTGTGTCCTGAACAGCCTTGCCTGTCAAGTCTTCTCATGACCTCATCATGGGTGGGATCTCCCACAACGGCTCCCGGCATAGAGCTTTCCTGTTTTCCTCCAGTCTGTCATTGTGTATGGGCTTCCCTGGGGGCTCAGCTGGTGAAGAATCCGCCTGCAATGAGGGAGAACTGAGTTCGATCCCTGGGTTGGGAAGATCCCTTGAAGGAGGGCATCATAACCCACTCCTGTATACTTGCCTGGAGAATCCGCATGGACAGAGGAGCCTGGTGGACTACAGCCCATGGGGTCGCAAAGAGTCAGACACGACTGAGCGACTAAGCCCAGCACAGCACATCATTGTTTATATGCCAATTACAGACCTCCTCAGTGGCTTAGAGGTAAAAAATATGCCTGCAATGCAGGAGTCACAGGGGACAAAAGTTTGATCCTTGTGTCGGGAAGATCCCCTGGAGGAGGAAATGGGTACCCAGTCGAGAAATCTCCCCTGGAGAATCCCATGGACAGAGGAGCCTGGCGAGCTACTGTCTTTGGGATCACAAAGAGGAGGACTCGACTAAAGCCTGTACCCATGCGTGTGACAGTTACACTTCGGTACTTCAGTGAAGCAGTGTAAGACACAGTAACTTCCAGTAATCTAGATATTTCCATTGTACTTCTATGAAAGTAACAGGAAATACATCTTTAAAAACTGGATCTTATATTCACTTTGTTTTTGTTCAGTTGCTATGTTGTGTCCAACTCTTGGTGATCCCATGGACTGCTGCCTTTTCATTCTGTTCTTGGGCTTTTCTGGCCAGAATACTGGAGTGGGCTGCCATTTTCTTCTCCAGCGGACCACGTTTGGTGGGACTCTTCACTGTGACCTGTGTGTCTCAGGTGGCCCTGCACGGCATGGCTCACAGCTTCACCGAGTCATGCAAGCCCCGAGGCTGTGATGTGGAAAGTAGATAAACTAACGAGAGCCTATGCACAGAACAGGAGACTTACTCAGTGCTGTGGGGACTTAAACGGGAAGGAGACCCGAACAAGAGGGCACGTGTGTGTACATGTGGCCGATTCACTTTGTTGTATGGCAGAAATTAACACAACAGTGCAAAGCAGCTAACTATACTCTAATTAAAAAAAGAGAGAAAACGAGACTGCTCCAATTTGGTTTAAAGGCATTAGAATGAGCACAGCTCAGGGAGAGATACACGAATCTTCAAAAGCCTTATTAAGTGCTCAAAGCATTATTCACGAGATAAGAAAATGATGAATGAGAAGATGGATGCTAGCTGAGCCTACTGTGGTAAACATTTCACAATACATATCAGTCAAAACTGTCATGCTCAATGCCTTTAACTTATACAGTGATGTATGTAATTATTTCCTAATAAAGCTGGAAAAGTAATAAAATAAATTTTAACATTAAAAAACAAAATAGAGGTCTTCCTGGGGG